TTGTTGTTTATTGTTTGTTGTTTGTTGTTTGTTGGTTGTTGTTTGTTGTTTGTTGTTTATTGTTTGTGGCTTGTTGTTTGTTGGTGGTTGTTTGTTGTTTGGTGTTTGTTGTTTGTTGTTGGGGTTGCGGTTGCGGTTGCGGTTGCGGTTGTGGTTGTGGTTGTTGTTGTTGTTGTTGTTGTTGTTGTTGTTGTTGTTGTTGTTGTTGTGGTTGTTGTTGTCGTTGTCGTTGTCGCTGTCCCTGTCGCTGTCGTTGTCGTTGTCGTTGTCGCTGTCCCTGTCGCTGTCGTTGTCGTTGTCGTTGTCGTTGTCGCTGTCGCTGGCGTTGTCGTTGTCGTTGTCGTTGTCGTCGTCGTCGTCATCGTCGTTGTGGTTGTTGTTGACGTGGTGGCGGTTGTTGGTGGCTGGTGCTTGCGTGTTTTCGTTGTTGGTTGTTGCTTGGTTTGTTGGTTTGTTGGTTTGTTGGCTTGTTGGTTTGTTGGTTTGTTGGTTTTTTAGTTTGTTAGTTAGTTAGTTTGTTTGTTTGTTTCTCTCCGTTTTTTTCACAGCAGAGCGTAATATAGGGCTATGTGTTGAGTCAACGGCCTTCCTCTCTAGAGTACGTTCATTTGCTTCAGGCGTTGCGTTTTATCCCACTGGTTGCTTGCATGTCCTTCAGTGGTGTCTCTGGCTCTGAAGGAGTGTGGTCATGACTGGCATTTTGCGCACATGCAAGCCCCCCCTCGGAACGGCGGGGGGGCCACCGGGAGGGTTGGTTCTACCTGGGGTTGGTAGGGTTATCAAGCCCTCCATAGGGTTTTCTGAGGTGGTTCCGACATGGATGACCACCCCATTCATTGGCTAACATTGCGAGTTAGTAGGTCCCCAAAATGGGTTATATGTGGCCAGGAATAACCACCTCCAAAGTGGTTGGTGGACATAATTCACCAACCAAATGATGTCCACTACAGGGTCCCTTATTAAAATCGGAAATCCGACTTGGGAGACTCATTCTCTGGGGATATAGTAGCAACTTACCTGCGTATCGACAAGGACCCCAATGCTTAGAGACTTCCCTTGAACCCAGGCCGCGTAGAAGGAGCTTTGACATGTTACTAGGGGGACAGCAAAGTCGACTCCCCCGAAAGACAACTCGTTCTGGTAGGCCTCCTGAGAGTTTTCTCCCGTTAAAAAAAACAAAAAAACGGGTGGCTGAAACCAGATCATCCATCTCCTTTTTGGTTTCGGACATTGTGATGGTTTTCCAAAGCAAGCTGATTCCTGGACTTTCTCGGGCCTGAAGCCAGTGATTCTTTGCCAACGACCATCACAAAATGGTGTTGCATTGCTAGCGGTTCCAAGTTCCTCGGGGCTGGCGATTTCTTGGCGATTTTGCTCAGGTACTACAGCATGTCTCTGGATGAGCTGCAGGCGAGGATCAGGAGCAGAACTGCTTACGGCTTTGTTTTGCGTCGGGTGAGCTCACATCTTATTTTTGGATTTATCTCACGTCAGAAGGCTACGGTAAGTGGATCCTGGGAGCTTCCATGGAATCTTCCGGAGGGTACAAGGAAATCGGATTTGTGCGTTCTCCTTTCATTGTTTGAGCGAGCATTTGTCTTGGGTCTTGCTACAATGTATCTCACTCATCCGTTGCCTTTTGAACGTTGTGGGGATCTGACCCCAACATGCTTGAACTTGATCCCACGGATTTGGCTGAAAGCTTACGTGTTGCCTTTTTGTCTCAAGGGCTGTACCCCTGGTGTACCCCAGCCAAACCAATGTATCAGTACTTACCATATTTCTAGAGGCTCAAGCAAATAGGAATCCATTGGCACCCGCTGTACTTCTTCTGGGGGGCAAGGCGAATCCTGGAATCTGCTCAAAATTGTGCCAAGTATATATATATATATTATGTACCCTCCCACCAACTAACATGAAAGTACAAATAGGCCCTTTCCAAAAGGAAAGTAGTCTTTCTATCAGGGGTCTGTGCACTTCCATGTTAGCTGGTGGGAGGGTATATATACATGTGGTCCCGCAGTATATGTTTATGTACACACCACCCATTGCCCCTGTGCGAGGACGAGCCTCTCCAAAAGACGGTTTAGGAAATTCTCTGGGACCTCAAACAGGTTAGGTCGATGTTCTGTGCTGGTCTCACAGATTGGTTTCATCCAGTTTCCACAACCATGGGCCTTAAAGGCCCCAAGAGTTAGGCCCGTGTTTTTGGTTGTTGTGTCTCGTCCTTTGAGGGGATCGAGAAAAAATCCTTCGCCAGTTGAAACGGATGCAGAAGGCAGAAGTTCTGGGACAAGTCACTTCCCCCAAGCTTTTTGGATGTTGTCAATCCACATTGGGGGGGGGGGAAATTGGTTTTCCCTGTTGGTTCCCCGAGGCTACGCTGAGACAAACTGGGTCCAGACAGTCCCCAGAGCCACAATCAAAACCGATTCGGGTAGATGATCCGGTTGGTAAGGGACAATCTCCTTGCCAGAAATAGCTGCGGATATCCGCCTTCTGAACTCTTGAAGCATGGTGCTGGGACTACGACCATTTTAACATATTTTAACCCCGGGTTTTCATTATGACATTCATTTGGATTCATTTGGGCTCCCTATTCTTGCCACCCCCCAAGCGGCATTAAAAAAACCCTCCAGAAACCCAGGGCTTCCGCTGTGCCCCGTGACTCAGCCGGCTCGCGTCCCGCCAGGACCCGGCTGGCGGAGGACTCCGAGACGGCCAACTTCTCGGGGAAGACGAAGGCCAAGGCGCGGAAAGTCGGCGAGGGCTTGGCCGAAGCCGCGGGCGGCTGAGGCTCGTTTCTTCGTAGGTCCCCCAGCTCACATGGTACCCAGCTAGGTGCCCTTTCTCACCAACTTTTTTGGGAGGGAGGGTTCCCCTAAAATAGACTACAGAAAGAAGTTGGTACCCTTATTGTAACCTCACTACTGGAGGACCTAGGTAGGAAGCTCCCCAGACCCCCCAAAAATGGAAGACTTGGGTAAAAACCCATTTGGGGGGCGTTTGGGAGCTTCCACGGTGGTCACTTAAAAACAAAAAAAACTATTTATCCAAGAACCAGAAGGAAGCTGACAGGATATTTTTTTGGAAGAGAGTCCTCTTGAGATGGCCTCTTGTCCCCGGAAAATGATTGGAAGTAGGGTGTGACCTTCAACTTTTCGGGGGAAAGGCCGAACAAATGGTCCCAGGGACTTGACAAAGTCGGGATCTTCTCGGGCAAGTGGGAAGAAACAAGTAGCCATCAAGAAATCACGGTGTTCTTCGTTTCCCCTTTTTGGTTGTTTTTCGACCATCGCCCATGTGAGTCTTTGTTTGGTGGGGTGATGGGGGGGACTTTTTTGAGGCCGGACGAAAGGAAGGCCAAAGGAGATCACCCATGGTCGGGGTCCATTTTGCGACCAATCCGTGTGTTTTTTTGTCGGCCAGGACAAAAGTTTTGCGCCTCTTGGGCGTTTTTTTAGAGAGCTACAAGCCTTTCAAACTTTCCCAAAATCCTGCAAGTTGTTGAAAGGATTGCCGCATCCTTCGCGCTTTGTCGAGTTTCCACACAAGCCTTTGAAAGAGGGTGAGAGTTGACCGTCCCACGCAAGACGGAGTTGGACATTCGATCGGCGGGTGATCCGCACGGCTTTGCAGAAACAAGCAAGATGCTGTTTCTCCGTATGCATAATTTATTCTGGTCATGGAAAGTTGGATTGCAATTCCAAGCCTCCATTTTGAACGTTCGCCCAGTGAGGCATGTCCTCACTCCAATGCAAAACAAATCGAGCTTTTGGCCTTAGGTTTTTTGGCCTTAGGTTTTCCCATCGACTTGGATAGCCCTGAGGTGGCTTATATCTATGGTTAAGCCCCCCAAACTATGGCAGAAGTACATTCTAGTAGAAGCTTCCCCATTCTTTCCAGGGATCCTTCTTTCCAGAACCACCGAACCAGGAACCAGCTGGCTTTCGAAGAGAAGGATGCGTGAAAAGACTGGGGAAGGAACTGCTAGATGCATATGATCCACTTGGGGAATGTCCCACAATCCTGAAGTTATTTGAGGTTGGGCTTCCAAAGCGCTGTGTGTCTTGATCTAACCACTAATTCGGCTGGCCATCCAATCAGGTTCGGAGATGCTGGACTGCTGGCTGTTAACAGTTTCTGTGGGAAACTAAAGGACAGCGATCCGTTTTGCGGGATGTCAGTATTCTGAGATACAGTTGGGCTAGCTTCTAGCTGTCGTCTACTCACATTTTGCTTCATGATCACGGCCATCACGGTTGGTTTCGAAGAAGAAAACACAACCCCATTCGATTTATCCACGTATCGAATCCAAACGGAGCAAAACCTTCTGCACCCACTTCTGGTTGGGACTGTCGCTCGCGAAGCTTCAGCTGGTTTGACCGGATTCCCTCTATGTTCCCCTTCCTGTTGTTTCAAACATCGCCATCATCGCCTTTTGGGGCGTGTTTATTGGTTGGACATCTTGAATTTTTGTTGTTGCTCCTTCGCAACTTGTCAAGGGCGCATGGCACTGATTTCCGAGACGAATCTACTTTTTTCGAAGGTCTGCTATTTTTGGAACAAAAACAACTGAAATGCTTCGCCGGGGCAGACGAGGTTGAGGAAACTCAACACTTCCATTACGCAGAAAGCTTGTCTGCGCACCCTCACATGCCGTGCATTTTGGGTGGTCCCCGAAAGAAGGACACCCCTGCATAAACCTTAGCACCTTCATACCCAGGTGGCTGTGGTTCCAAACCAAGGGAATCCCATTTTGGTTGGTAGGTGAATTCACCACCCATTTTAGGACCTATTTTAGTGGTTGGGGGTACGGGATTTGGTTGGTAGGTGCACCAATGTTCACGTTACGATTTGGATTTTGACCCATGGCCAGGCAGGTAGAACCGAAGAAGTCCTTATTTATTTATTTTTCGGCGCACATGTCACGCTCAGATTTTGCTGCCTCCCGGCGAGGGTGAGCGCAGAGCACGCGGACATCGGGCCTAGGTGGGCAAAACCGAAAGGCCCTGGTCTTGAGACCCTGGCCTGTCCAGTGGATTCCACCCTTGTTTTCCTTTAAGATGTTTGATACGAAAAGAGGTTTGCCGAACACGATATGGTTTGTTTGGCAGGTTCTGGGTTCCCTTGTTTTTGTCCAAGCTAAGTGTCCCCCCCAAGATGCTTTTGTGTTTGCTGGCTGGCGGTTTCCCGGGTCCTTGCTCTTCCATAGTCACTGGGTACAGATAATGACAGCCGCAGCCTGGACAAGACGTGCCGGGCTGTCAACCTCTCGGCGCAGGGAGCGGTTCAAAATGTGGCATGCGGCATGGCATGCGAATGCTTTGGTGCATTTTGCCAAGGGATGTTAGGACTTTAACTTTTTGCCAACTAACGGGGTTTCCATTAAACCACTAGAAGTTTAAACAAATGAAGCAGGGGAGCAGAAAGCAAACGAGAATGTCTCAGAGTGAGAGACTTGGGTTTTGGGGGGGGGGGGGGGGGCGAAACTTCCTTCGATACCAAGGGAATGCGCTTGGGAGTCCCACTTGGTGTCGCAGAAGACATGAATTCTGCCCCGCCATGATGTAAAATCCGGCAAGAGACACGTTTTGTTTTTGGCCCATGACTAGTTGCTGCCCCTCGCATATAAAAGGACCATTGCTTGTCGCATGGGGCGATGCGATTTGCAGGTTGAGTCTAATTTGATGAGCTCAAAGTGAAATGGGTCATGACTGCTTAACATATTCTATTATCCATGGTCCATTTGTGGACTCGCTAACCCTTTCCACGAACACCAGGGGTGGCACTACAACACCCCCGTTCTGGGAGCCGTATATTTTGACCACCATCCCCTGCCGAGAACCCGCAGAACCTGTACATAATCCGCCGGCCAAATGGTGGGCATGTCAGAGACGGCCAGAAAACGACTCGGCGCTGCAGCCAGGTTTCGCAGCAGGGTTGTGGGAATGGTGGGTTGGCTCCAACTGTCATAGAGAACTGCCTGGCATTCCATTGGTGTCACAGAAGTGGGCAATTCCCACAACGCTGAAAGAAGAAAATAAGTAGGTTACCAAGAACTTACCATGAACGGACACCCAACAGACCTCGAAATCGGGGTTACCCCAACTAAGGAAACTAAGGAGCCTGCTTGGGAAGGGGGCAATGGCCCATGTTTGCTCACGCGCTGATCATATCATCATTCGCGGCGCGGTTTTAGTGAGCATCTTCAGCCTGGTCTGAGGTCACTTTCCTTTTGGTGGGTGATGTTTGGGGGACATACTTGGAATGCTGATCCCTGTCTTGTGAACCAAGGAGAAGCATGCGGGCTAACCCTCCAGAAAGCTTCGATCCGCATTCGAACAGACTCTTCCAAGAAGGGTCGGGTTGGGAGGCGGGCCAGGCTTTGCCGATTTGTCTTCTGTGGCTAGTGAAGAGGCTAAAGCACCCGACCTACGGTTCCTCGGGTCCGAGGACCCTAGCTCCCCGTGGTGGGGCCTGAGTCAAAAAAAACACGGCGGGTGTGTCTTGGGGGAGTGTTGTCCATATTTTTGTTTTTTATGTTTGCCACCCCCCAAGCGGCAGCTCCTCCAGAAAGCCAGGGCTTCCGCTTTGCCCTTGGGTTGCCGCAAACGCTCGCCAGAAGCGCGGACAGAAGCGCAGCCGAGAGGAGGCTCTTAGCCGAGTGGATTGCAATCTTTTGTTTGGTCTAAGGGAGCCAAATGGTTGTGGGTCAAAAATGGGTACCTGGAAAATAGAAACATGTGGTCCCTGGTAGTCTGATTTTACCCACAGCCAACTAATTCGTGGTTTGTTGCCACCTGTGCCTTGGTCAAAACACCTTTTCAGGCGGGTTAGGGATGGTCATGAATCTCTTGCTAGGGGTAGACAATCAATGTAAAGGGCCTTATGACGCACGAGTGTGAGCAACACAGATACCCAACCAGGTCGAAATGTCCCTTCCCTTCAGACAGGGCTTGATTCGCTTTGCCTTGGCGGTTCACTGACATACCGTACATACCCTTAGACTGTGGGTTTAGAGGAAATGTATGACATATCTCACTTCAAGTGTAACTTTCAGCAAGGGGTCAAAGAACCGCTAAATGAGGCAAAGCACACACGTTTAAGGCCAATTACTCAGACCTCCAGTGGGCTGTTGTTTTTGTTATATTTGTTTCTGAGGGGGGGGGGTCTCCGTCTCAAAGCAAGTACCAACAAGGTGCCCTTGGTCTACCGGAGGTCAAGGCCAAGGTTTGGGGGTGGTCTTTGGGGTGTTTGGCGGCTTGGATGCCACCGATTTTCATGGGATCCAGCTACGGCTTAAACAACCTACACCACCGGGTACCATAATTTGTCAGTACCTTCCCCTGATCAGGGCAGACATGCGAAGCCCATCGGCGGTGATTCCGAAGCGAAACCGTTCGAACATTGTCGTACCTGGATAATATGTGTCCGTGATTCCAGTCCACTCTTTTCGTTCTTACCAACACTTGGACATGTCCTGAGTTATGAACAATGACCTCTTCCGACTTGGTGCCCCTTTCTCCCAATTGCTGGCTGACTCCCAGGGCTAGAGACTTGACAGTTGGTTGCACGTAGGGGTTTTCTTTGTTAAACACCTTTCGAACTCAAGCAGCCCCTTCAAGTCCGCCCGAGCCACAGCATTCTTGGGCTCAGCCACCAGGCTGACATGCAAGCGACCTTGAGCTCCGTCGTGAGCGAGTCGACCACTAAAAACCATTTCTCAGCATTGCACGAGATCAAAGCCTCAGATGCGAAAATTCTACGGTTTCGTTGCCGTTTCCAGGGGCCCCATTTCTAGCCTTGTGGTCCTGTGGGCAAGTGAGCCCTTGGATTCGCGCGGAAAAAGTGCGGTTAGACTTGCATGTTTGTTCATTAGAGATGCCCAAGTTTTGTGATCACATGCCCAAGCTCTACTCCCAGTCTTAGCTGCGGTTTGCTTTCCATTTGCGTTGTGAGGAACTCAGAAATGCGGATACGTCCCTTTGTAGCCGGTTTGAACATCACCATCGGGGTCACTTTTAGATGAGTTTCTTGGTGTTGTGATGTTCAAGGTTGACATAAAGTATAGGGAGGCCTGTTGTCCCGCTACAATCCGTAGCATATGAGCTCCAGCGTTCGATCAATTGCGAAAAGGCTTTGGTCGGATGAAAGGTTGAGCTTCCGTATTAACCAGAATTAGTTCCCCTTTTGATTGTTTTGCTTTTTTGGGCTTCTCTTTGTTTTCCACTAACGAGCAACAAATATCATTTTTTGCTGGGGTCCTCATTCCAGCCAAGATTAGTTGCCCTTTGCTGTGACCGAACATTTTGTTTTCACACGTGGAAAAGGATGATTTTTGCCTTGGAATCTTGACCTGGAAGCAAGGGAGCGGATTTTGATCCAGGGATCGAGAGGCAAATCGACAACTTGTTGCAGGGGTTTCGACGTGTGTTTTCCTTTCTGGCCAAGTAGCGAACTGGTTGTTTGCTCAAAAGGAGGCCAAAAGGGGATTGGAAAGTTTCGAACATTTTTCCCAGGCCCCGATTTGAGAATTTGGCACTTGCCCTTCACTGACAGACTTTGTTTCAGGATATGATGAGATGTATCTTGGCACGGCCTCGGAGGACCCATCTCAAGGCCTTGGCCCCCCGGCGTCCTCTCGGAACCGTCAGGCGACGCCCGTTGAGGGCGGGGCCGCGCCTGAGGCCCGCAGAGCAGAGGGGCAGAGGGCGGGGGGCGGGTCCCGGGTGACGGGGGGGTTCGAAGTTCCAAACTGCCCTGGCCACTGGAGATTGTTTTTTTGGGGTGTATAGTGTTTTTCCCTTTAAACTTATCCTTGAGTAGGTCCATTTTCTGTGGTACTCTTTTTTTGATATCGACAAGGGTTATGTTGCGCAACCATGAGGATTGTGGGTTATTTGGAGTCCCCAGGACTCATAGGTTAGTTAACCCCTCCCCCCCTCCCCCCCTCCTAAATGTCAAAATCTCAGTAAGACTCACCGAGTGTTGCTGAGCACTGAGCCCAGGATTTGGCATGTGGGGGGCTGCTTCAATTTTGCATAGCTTGGATTTGTGGAAGCTGGGGCTCGAAGCGCCATTGCGTGGATCGCAAAAATGTGTTCTTGGGTGATTGAGAGGTCCTGGGTGCTACTGTGTGCTGAGTGCTACTGAGTGTGCTTACCGAGCTGGGATTCCAACAATGTGCTGATTTCGGTTGTGATTGAGTGCTACTGAGTGTTACTGAGTGCTGCTGAGGCTGCTATTTGCTCGCATCCTTAACCTTTGCCCTTTGCCCAGGGTCAAGAGCCACCAAGTACAGAGGTGTCTCCATGAAGAAGCCAAGGATAGTCACGACTCTAGGGGTCCAGGCCTTATTACATCTTATTACACGTTGGTTCATTTTGCTTGGATGTTAGGACTTTAACTTTTTGCCAACTCATGGGTTTTCCGTATTCAACCACTAAAAGTTAGTCACTTTCAGCAGGGCTTCGCAGATTTCGCCACCGAGTTCCTACACGTCAGTAAGGCCCTCCCCCCCCCGGGTCCAGCAACCGGCCATAGGCCATCACCAAGGGCCGCCTCGATACGCTGCGGACCCTCGTTGCACGCTGCTTCTCGCGCCTCGGAAACTGGCGCTTTGGGGAGGTGTAGCTGGGTCTTTGTTGGGGGGGCCCCCAGTATGGTGGACACTGAAGGGGTTTATGTTGCAACCTCCTTCTTTTATGGGTATTGTTTTTTTTCAGGGTATGGTTGCAAATACACTTGGTGTCCATGGCACGGTCCCCTCCACCCCCCAAACCGGCTGGGTTTTCCCTGTGGTTTCCCTTGAACACCACCAACAAAGGGGCACCCCCTCCCCCCAATAAACAAAAAAAGCTGCCAAAAAGAGGGTGCCCTTTTAATCCGAAATTTCGGGGATTCCAGGGGTTCGGACAACAAATCGGGTGGCGGCGTTGCAAGAGAGGGCGGAGAAAAGTTTGCTGAGTTGCTCTTTAAAGTCAACCCTTACCTCTTAAACTTTCAACTTCTTGGGTAACATGGGCTATATGTCTGTAAAAGATGAACTTCCCCAGGGCTTGGAGTTTTGAGGGGTAAGAACTTAATTACTGACCTGTTCTTCTAGCAACCGGGAACAAGCGCTTTCGCTCCCAAGGGCTAAGCGGAATCCAAAGCCTCGTGAAAAACCCATCCCCTTGCCCATGGGAAAGACGGCGGATGTCCGGTTCGGGGCTGCCAAACTTTAGGCCACCTTGGTGCCGATTTGGCCGATTTGTCCTTCACTCGCCTCTTTCAACCAGCGAACATGTGTCACTTTGCGCGGGTCCACATCTGGCCACGGAAACATTGGTTCACACATCGGGCCCATGCTGATTGTAGTGGGGTGATGGCCATGCAAAATGTGGTTTTCGTTTTGTGTTTGGATTCTTGCATGTTTCGGCATCCAACTCTATTGGCTGGATCGTGGCTCGCTTTTTTTTGCCTTTTCTGTCGGTTCCGGGGTTCTTATTCGTTTCCGGGGTTCTGTTATTTTTGTGGCTGCTGCTCCAAATAGCTGGATGTTTCTTCTCTCTCTTTTTCGGCCCCCCCCCTTGTTATCTTTCTCTGCCCCTCCAATCAAGAACCCCGACCCCTCAAGAGCCCTCAACAACAACACATTGGAGGACCCAAAAACAGTCGGGACCCTAGGGCTTGTTTTTTTTTTGGGGGGGGTGGCGGGGCCGAGGGTCGTCGCTTCATCTCTTCTTCATGTCTCGATCGGCAAGGCGCCGGCAGAGCGCGGCCATCCCTCGACTGGAGTTGCTGGACATGGCGACCGGATCTGACAACATGGGGGGGGTGGGCCTGGGGCCGGTGGACTTTACGGGGGGGGGGGGGCTGGAAGGACCGACCTGTGGAAAAACCAACCGTTTGAGAAATGTGTGTGTGCGTCAGAATTCGTGGGTTTTCCCTTTTTGGTCAATGAAAGCAACTTGCGAGATGGGATGCACAAGTTGTTTTGTGTTTTTGTTGGCCATCGGGGTCTGAACTGAAAAACTGACGAGGAGAACAGGAAAGCGCTTTGCTATGGACCCTATTGGGATCCCTAAAATGGGTGGCAGGTTCCCCGTTTCTGGAAAGTCGCGTCTCCTGTTGAGGGAACCCTCCAGAGGTGGCTTTAAAGGGGAGCCAAAAGAACACAGTTGCATTTTTGCGGGCCCGCCCCCAATTTGGAGGCACTCCTAGAAGGAAAAGCCCTTCTCAGGCACCCTTAGACAAACGGAAGGGACTCCCTAACACTCCAACTACCAAGCCAAACCCAAACCATTTAGTTGGGGGGGAGCAAGTGGGTCCCTATGGGTGTCTTTATGAGTTGCGACCCGTTTTGGGATTAGTCCCCTTTTGATGGTATTTAAAGGGAAACCCAAGGTGTCTTAAAATGAGGGTCTCAAAAACCCGGTTCATTTCTGCCCTACCTGGCTGTCCAAAGGCAACCTTAACCCTTACCTGAGATTACGAACGGGCGGCTTTTGCAGTGGTTTCCCTGTCAGATTGACTAACGCGTCAGACGTGGACCTTGTTTGGTTCGTCGGGGTTCCCACTGTGAGAGACCTCCACAATGCGGAGGTCTCTCACAGTGGGAACCCCGACGCATCCATCATCCTAGTTTAAATTTCTCGGTCGGTTGCTGATAGAGAAGACGCAGAGAAACCACCCCATTTGAGTCCAGATATTGAAGGAGAAAACCACCCACATGTGCGTGTCTCAAATGAGGCCCTCAAAAAAGCAACGGTCTCCTTTTGTTTCCCTTTACCAGCTCAAAGGCGGGTTGCCCCAAGCCCAAACATACACACACACAGACACATATCTAACTCCCATTTCTGAGGTGTTCAACTCAGTCTGTTGCATTTCTTTACAGGATATATGGGTGCCGAGTCCACTTTAGGGCGCTTGAGTCTAGGCAGGTTCCCCAAATGCGGAAATGCGTTCTCTCCCCATAAATGGGTGTGTCTTTTTCTAGGCTTCCTTTCAGAATGGCGTTCTTTACGGTTTCCGGATAAAAAACCAAGCCCAAAACGGGCACGCTCCCCCCCAAAAAGAGATCCACCCATCGGAGCCTTCGAGCTGACTCGGCCGGAGGTTTTGTGGTATGCCGATGGGGTCGGGGTTTGCCTTGTGACGCTCATTTCCTGAGTTCCGTTTCGGACTTTCGTCCCTTTGGTTTGGACCATTTTAGTGGCAAACACAAAGTTCGGACCTTTTTTTTGCCAATCCACGGAAGTGAGGACATCCTTGCGAAACAAAACGACTGTATATTTCAGGGCTCTGTATATTTCTCTTTTTGCCAGTTTAAGGATATCACGTATTGGACCAATTGTGCCTGATGTGTTCTCTTCGGTTGAGGTATAAGAGGGAAATAGAGGCAGTCCTGCGTCGTACGTGGGATATGTGGGTGGATGTACTTCAGAGGCGATTCCTGCTCAACAAAAACAAACCGGTAGATCATTCATAGCCCGCGCTCAAGGACACTATCATAGCTGGGTGTCTTTCATGTGATTGTGTGATGCTATGGCTATTATCATACCTTATATTTAAGGTTTGCCAGGCTAGGTGCGTGCGTGCTTGCGTGCGTGCGTGCCTGCGTGCTTGGGTGCGTGCCTGCGTGGGTGCGTGGGTAAGTGGGTTCGTGAGTGCGTGGGCGCGTGGGCGCGTGGGTGCGTGGGTAAGTGGGTTCGTGAGTGCGTGGGCGCGTGGGCGCGTGGGTGCGTGGGTAAGTGGGTTCGTGAGTGCGTGGGTGCGTGCGTGCGTGCGTGTGTGTGTGTGTATACATAGGACTCAGAGGATTCCCTGCGCGACCCTCTGCGGGGACTATGCGCGTTGGACGCGCGAGCGTGGCAAAGAGTTGCGTGTTCGCTTTTTGCGATGCTCGGAAATTGGCCTGAAAGTTTGTCTCGCGGGTTGCACGCCCGTTCCTGGAAGCGAGGGGTCCCAGGCTCGAATCTCTTTAGCCAAGCTGCTGGCAGCGAGCCACCTGCGTTGAGAAAGATGTGCGCTGAAACCTGCAGACAGAACTTGCGTGTAGAGATTTGCACAAAGAAACTTGCATGAGGGCTTGCGCAGAGAAACTTGGGTTGAGAACTTGCGCATGCGAACTTGGAGAGAGAATCTCGCGCAGAGAGCTTGCGCAGAGCGACTTGCGCCGAGAACTTGAGCAAGAGGAAACTTGTATGGAGATCTTGCAAGGCTGAAGCTTGCAGAGAGAACTTGCTTGCGCAGGGAACTTGCAAAGAAGGCTTGCGCAGATCCACTTGCATAGAAGCACGGACACACACAACCACACAAGACAAACAAACAAACAAACAAACAATTAAACAAACAAACAAACAAACAAAAACAAATCAAAACACAAGCAAAAACAAACAATCAAACAAACAAACAAACAAAAACAAACAAACAAAAACAAACAAGCAAAGAAACAAGCACACAAACACACAAACAAGCAAATAAACAAACAAACAAACAAACAAACAAACAAACAATCAAAAAGCAAGCAAACACCCACCGCACCGATTCACAATGCAACGAACTACAACACAACTGACAACAAAACACAACACAACACCGCACAACACAACACCGCACAACACAAAACAACACACACAATACACACACACAGCACACACACACACACGTACAACACGCACAACACGCGCGCAACACACACACACACAACACAACGCATTGCAGCGCAACGCAACACAACGCGCAACACAACGCAACTCACCACACCACACACACACACACACCACACACGCACAGCACACACACACACACACGTACAACACGCACGTACAACACGCACGTACAACACGCGCACACACACACACACACGCACAATTTATCGGCACAACCTTACGCTAGAGCAGCCCATTCAAGATTCCAAGCTGCGCATGGCTTGCTTCAAACCTTGGCGGTCCCCAGCCATCCGGTCTCTGAGGTTTTTAGCTGTTTGTAGTTGGGCTTTTCATGTAATCCATAGCAGATCGAACAGCCCAGCCTCTAATCTCCCGTAGTTTACCATGTTTTTGTGGCTCTGGTTGGCCATTGCTTGGGATGTGTCGCCCATCCTTTGGTGCATGTTGCCAAGGGATGTTAGGACTTTAACTTTTTGCCAACTCATGGGTTTTCCGTTTTTCTACCACTAAAAGTTAGTCACTTTCAGCAGGGGGGCAGAAAAGCGAGATAGAGTTGTACCCACCGTTGGCTTCCCACTCGAGGTGAACGCCGAGCTGGCGCCCGGGGAGCCGAAGTTCGAAGAGCCGGAGCTGGACCAGGGGCTGGCCAAGCGGCTGGGCTGCACTTGGAACGTGGCAGTTGAGCGCCACAATCAAAACCCGGGTAGATGAAGGTTAGTAAGGGGCAGTCCCAGCCAGAAAAATAATTGCGGAATTCCGGCATAATTCCGGCTTGTTAATTCTTGAAGCATGATTCTGGGTAGACCATTTTAATACCGGGCTTTGATTGTGACTCAAGAGGTCCCAATGTTTAAGGGTGGAAGTACATACCCCTTGTTCATACCCGTTGGCTTCCCTGGAAACCCCAACCCACTTTATGTGGGTGCTTTTTCCCCTTTTGGGGAGAGGGGTGTGAACAGCAGGCGTGTTGGGTTCATTTGCCCAAGGGGTATGTAAAAGGCGTATGCACAACTACCCCTGGACAATGGGATGACCATTGGTTAAAAAACCACCACCTGCCCGGAACAAACAGTTCTTGTTGGTTGTTTCCCAAGCAATCGGATCTATGATAAAATGAAAGTTTGACTGCAAAAGGTGGTTTGGCGAACAACAGGCAAACAAGTGTCGGCAAGTAAATTGGGGGTTGATCAAGATTTGGGGGGCAACAAAGACCATCAAGGGTCACAACCTTCCCTGGCTTAGCTACCCAATATTGGATGAGGGTACTGGTGGGGATGTGGGGGTTGATCAATAATTCCCTTTGGCCCGGTTTCTTTTCCCGTGTGGTTGAAATAAATCTAGGGGTTTTCCAACCAATGGTCATCTGCATGTAAATTATGTAAAGGACCTTTTGATCAACCCCGAAATGCCTTATTTCCAATTCGTCAAATACAGCGTGCCAAGATTCGCCAGGATGACTTGGTGTCGAAAATATATATGCGAATGTGCATATATACATATATGATGTCCGTTAGCCGTATAGCATCCGGGGACCCTATGACAATGCCCCAAACCTGGTTGCGTTCTCTCAAAATTTGCTTGGTGTTTTTTTCACCCGTTTGTCCAGCAAAGTACTGAGCGCAATCGCAGAAAAAGGATTGGCAAGCATTTTATATTGTGGGTGGGTGGGTGGGCGGAAATCACGTGCCGCATATAGTAGTTTCTCTTCCCATTTGCAGGTCGGTACCCAGCTTCCTGGAGTCTCCATGACCCTGTAAAATGGGGTCATGACCCCTTGATTTTGGGTAATGACCCCATTTTTACAGGGTCATGGAGACTCCAGGTTCAAAGAATAATTCCACACCTCAAAACAGCAGGAACTTGGGGGCCTTGTGGCCTTTTGAGGCCTCGTTTTAGCACCCGACTTGCCTGTCTGCTTGTTCAAGCATGTCCTAAATCCCCGCACGGTAACCAACAAGTAGTTGGGGCGGTGCTGGAACAAGCACATGGACCCCCGCCAATGATAGTCCTTTGGTGTTTCCCCTTAAAAAGGACGAGCAACCAAATTTAATTGCCATAATGTTGTGGGTATGCATGTATAGACCATATACACAAATAAAAAAATGCCGGTGTGGAAAAACGCAGAGTTTTATTTTGCCGCTGGGGCAACGCTGAAAAAAGCAGTTCCGGCGCAATCCGCAGGCTGGAGGAGGCCAATAAGGTCATGATCGACGACACCGGTGACGAGGTTCGCCAATGCGGACTCGATCGGATTCGCAAGTGGGTGGACGTTTTTGGTTTTGGGGAGGCGCATCCTTTTTTGGAGGTGTTCCTGTTGGTTTCCCCTTTTGAACGCAACCAAAAGGGGGGACCCTCAAACAGGGCCCCTGTTTGGTGTTTTTTAAAGGGGACTAAAACGGAACCACCGCCATTTTGGGGGTCAACCTTAAGAAAGTAACATCCCCCAGCCCGGTACGTGTTTTCGAGCAAACAGCGCCTGCCCGCTCTTTTTCCCCCATGCTGGTCCATTTCTGCAACTCCGAATGGGAACTTGCGTCAAGCGCGGGAGAACAAGGGGGGGTATAGAGGTTGCTTCCCTGGTCATGGTTACTGTCCCATCCACTCACATGGAACCCTCTTTTGTGGTAGAAGACAACGTCTATCCCCAGCCGACACAAAAGCTGGCAACGATTCAGGAACCGGCCACCAAGGGCGGTCGAGGCGGCGGCTCTACTTTTTTGTTCGGCCAAGTTGTAAACTGGTTTGCCAGGCTGACACCCCACTATTTACCGGGTAAACTCCACTTGAGGAGACTTATAATCAGTGGGTTGCATCGTTAGCAGCCTACACGCGTAGCCGAACACCCAAGAAGGGAAGAGTGATGCTCAGGCCCTTGATGAGATTGATTTGAGGATTCTTCAGTTCAGGTTTGTGAAGTGCAGTAAGTGGAGATGAGATTTGTGGAGGTGAGAACCAGTTGCTTCATTGCATGAGAAGAACTAGCATATTTATAAGCGGACACGGGCGAAATAAAGTGAATTGTAGGTTGGCCGGGGTACGAGCCGATTTCAAAGGGTGATGGAGACTCACTGCCCCATTCGGCTCACCTTGGCTTCCTTCAAGTTGTTCGAGCGCCAACACTACCTTCCAGATGAGGACCCTGCCCCAAAAAGCCAGCGCCCCCTTTCAGGAAGGGGACGCCCAGGTGTGTCGGCGCAAGTGAGACAGCTGTTCAGAAGCCATGACACGAAGTTCCTGGCGTTCGTAGGGCTGGTTGTGGACCCTTCCATTACTGGGTTCGAGACAACCAGGGGAGTACCTTTTGAGCGTCCCGGCACGTGGGGGACGTGGACGTGGGGCACGAGGGGGACGTGCTGCGGCGCCCAAAGGATAATAGTGGGGGGATATAGTGGACAACCATCCGGTAAGCGCTTCTAAGGAACCATACCGCCACATGTAGAGTGCTTTAACCGTGGCACATGTCCTCTATCTCGTTCGGTGTCCCTTTGAAGGTGGCAGGCCCATGTGTTTTGGCACGTGACTTTCTTGCGCGCTCGCCAATTCAATTGCTGTAAACCGCGCCCCCTTGTTCGGTTTCTTTGGGCCCTTTGAATGTGAAGCCACCGGTTAGCCTCTCTCCCACATGGCACCTGAAAGGGGGCCCCAAGAGGAACTTGATCTTCCAGGCACCCTTCCATAGGTGCTACGTTAGTGGTAAGAACGGTGGCCACTTCTTCAGTGGAAGCGGGAGACCATGGGGGTTAAAGGACCTACAGCTGCCGTGCTAGTTGGGGGAGGGTAGCAAACCTTTGCCCCGAGTTTCGATCCGGGCAATCGCACGGCAGGTGATCTACGTGGGCTGAGGCCCGGGAGTCAGTCACCTTGCTGGAAAGGGCATCTCAAAGGAAATCCGCGTTTTGGGGGTGGCTTGCTTGAGGATTTGTGTTTCTGGTGGTTTTATAGGGAAGCCACAAGGGCAAGGTAATTCACAAGTTTGCCCCCCCCCCCCATTTTGACACATACCCACCTTCAGCATCATTCAGTTTCAGCCATTTGCGAGGGTGGCTTCCTGGAACGAAGAATCCCTGAAATGCGATGAAATGCGAAGCTAGCCTAGCCCTATGTTGGTGTGCAAGGGGACCCTGGCATTATGCGTTCTTGAGTCATCCTTTTCTCCATGAAGGTGTCGGACCCTGTTGCGGAGATAAGTGTTTCATGGAGGCATTGTCTCCTCGGATTTTCGGCTAAGTGTGAAAGTGTTTAGCCGGTTGAAGAACAGGGTTAGCTCCGCTTGGGGAGACATATCAGTGGGTAACAACCTAGGTTACCAACAATTGTCTATCTTAGCCAGACACCAAGTACCTTTCCTTCGCAGAGACATGTTCTTGTTGGATTTCCCTCTGACCAGCGAAAGTTGGGCCGCGGTGCGTTTTGGGGGACACGACTTGGGTTTTTTGACATGGGAGGCAGCAGTCGTTGGAGGGTTCTGGAATAGCAAAACCCGCATTTCTACTATCCTGGCCCTACCTTCAAACTGTTCCGGTGGATATGTCTTTTGAGGGCACCAAATCCATGGGTTCCAATCTGGAGACACCGGCATGCAGCATACAGCACAATATAGTTCTAGCTAGCCCCCGGAGATTCTGGCACGCAAACCAAAACTGGGCGGCCGGACGATTTTTGGCGTCTCCCAAGGCAAGTGGAGCCCGGTTTAAGTCTAGAGTAAATCCCTTGGTGTTTGGATGCTTTCCATAGGGTTTGTTTGCGGACAGGGTTCCAGCGCCACGAATGGACCACTTAAGCTACACTATGACACCTTAGGCCAAACTTACGGCCTCTTTGCGCCCAATGTGGGGCCCTAAGCATCTTAAAAGCCCCAACCGTCTGGTTTGTACCCCGCCTCTCCCTGGTTTGGAAGGGCTGGAGGTTGTTGGGCACTGGAGAGGGGCAAATGGCGAGGTTGGCAATTGCAGTTAATAGGTCCGGAAAGACCAAAAGACCGCGAAATATTTACTACAGTTGTTTCGCATTCCTGGAAGCAATGACCAAACGCAGGTATGAAATTTCTATAGGGAGTCCTTTTCTTCTCATTGTGTAACACGATCGAATGGGAGCATCCTTGTGATTTGCACCTAGGTCTGAAAAGATAGTGGGTTGTTTGGGTTTCCTTAATCAAGGAATCCACAAACCTTCTTTTATAGGCAAACTGGCTGGCCCCTTTTCATGGGTGCCGTGGCCAAGAACATCTCGCAGGACGGTCATCCACCAACGAATAGGGGGAGGGGGGGTTTAGACATGCAGGTCAGGTGATTATTCCTATGCAGGTACTGTAACCATGATGACTCACGAAGCAGTTTTTGCAATTGAGACGGGTGCTAGAAAGAATGAGCTCAACGAGCTGCCGAATAGGTACGTGTCAAATAGGTACGTGCCCCAAACATGCGCAGTTTTTCTTGATCTCCCTTACCAAGATGTACAGGGTACAGTACCCTCAAATGTTTACTCCCAATTCAGTTCGTGCGGGAGGCAGTTCGCCCTGCCAGGTGCTTTATGCAAGTCGGCCACTCTGAGATGGGGTGAGTGGCCTCTTCCCGGGACCTGCCCGTTTGGTGTGTCGGCGGCGCTTGGTGGAGTATTTCTGTTGGGTGTTTGTTTTGGTTGACTTCCATTTGCTTAAGTTTTTTAATTTTAATTTTCACCTGTTGGTTTTGAAGAGAATCTATCACTAGTGGACATATTTAGTATTTTCCACGGACTTCAGCTCATAGAAGTTGAGAGTTCCCTTTTGGGCTTGGCTTTAGAGAATCAAAAGGACAACCACTAATTTGGGGTCCCGGGCCCCCCATTTTGACTCACACCCAGTTCCCCTTTCCTTTCCCCCTTCCTTCTGGGCAAATTTTGGTGACCACTCGCGCATGTTCCCAGACCCGTCATTTTTGGTGCGAACCCCGCACAACAAAAGAGCAAACAGGGCGGTCTCAGCATGAACATGGAATCTTTGGAGGAAGCTCCTGAAAAAGCGCCTTCAGGTTCCACCTAAAAAACGCGAGGGATGTTGCAAAAACTAGATCGTCGATGCCTCGAAAGCGTCAAAGCCGCGAATTCCCAACACAATTCAACTCACACGTCGGCTTTCTACATTCTCTACCAAGCCGAGCAACACATCGGATCACCAGTGCATAGGTGTCCTTTTTGGCTGTTTTGCTAGAAAAATAGATGGCCCTGGTTTACCTGGTGGTTTAATCATCTACCAGGGCCATCTATTTCCCCTAAAAGCACCTATGCACCTGTGTCTTCCAAAAAAACAAACACACACACACCATGTGGAGCTCGCCGAGGCGAAACGACCCATGAAGATTCGAAGGGCAAGGACCCCTTAGCCAACTTGCAAGTCATCCAGAGATGCAAATGGCAAACCTGAAAGCTGCAGAAAGGATCTCAGCGGCCACCAAAACTGTACTTTTGAAGATGCAACTCTTATCATTCTAGACATGTATATATATATATATGTATACATATTATGTATTATTAGTTTTTTCCTGTGTCGTTCGCAAAAGCGTGGAGTGACTGTGAGAATTGAGACGCTGTGACAGCCAGGGGAGTCGGCAGGTCCCATTCTGTTTTTTTCGGCAAGACCTCCCGGGGAAGCTCCGTCCGAAGGCAGCCCTTTGACAGGCAAGGCTGTGAGACCTGGACATGTTTGTTTATAAGAACCACCAAACGTGTTTGTAGAGCAATCTCTTTTTTTGGGGACCCTTTTGGCCTGTTGGGTCCTATTTGCTGGGCTGCATAGTTCCCTTTTGGGAGGGATCCATGGCAGTTTCAAGGTCGCCTCGACCTTCGGGAAAAAGGAAGCGCAGGGCAGATGTGCGAGTGGAGATGTCTGACCCTGGGCAGTATATTTTAAATCCGGGGCTGAGCGGATTTGCGAAAACAAATCTAATTTAATCTTGAAGGGGAAACATGATTACTACCCTTCCCGTCTCAAGGTCGACAAGGTTTGGGAAAGCTGGATTTTGGAGACTCGACAGTACGTTTACCGCAAAAAAATGACTTCCTCAGAAACTGGGGAAGTGAAACTGCGGAGCCGTGCTCCATCTTCTCCTGCGCGTTTGGAACCTCGACTCGAACCTGGGACTATCGCAGGGTGTGTATGTGTGTGTGTGTGTGTGCGTGTGTGGCGTTTTGCCCTATTTGGTTAAGGGAAGGTTTTGTCTTCCGGGGGAGAAGCTGGATCTTTGACTGTTTCGCTGATGTTGCTAGTTGTTGCTGTTCGTTTCACTGCCCAAGTGCATCTTTATGTAATCAGGGCTAGCAGAGATGTGCCTGACTTCTGCTGCCCAATTGCTTGGAACACACCCATATTAATAAACAGGGGTTGATTAATGTGGGGTCAACATTAGATCAGGTGTTTCCTCAAGTGAGGGATCCCCCAAGTGGCCGCAAGTGGAAGGCTGGTACATGGCTTGGACACCGGGGGGAGTGGGCCCCTAAGATTCCGGTCTTTGGATGTGCATTTGGGGAAACCCAGGTCTGACCCGCTTTGTTCTTGCGTTATCCAGATGCAACCCTGAAATGGAGTTGCCCCTCTTTTCCAGTCAAACGATGTGCACCAGATCCTTCGACCATCCGGGCCAAAGGGTTCCTGTTCAATTCGGCCAAGTCCTCTCTCCTAGTGAGTCCTGGGCGCCTTGTCCGAGGCGCAGGGGAAGGTGCCGCGGAATTTGGAGGCGCTCTATGAGTACCTGATGCACCGCCTCTATGCCGGATGCCCAGAAACCTGTTTGCTTCTGTTCAGCCCTCTGTTTGGACAAGTGCCTTGGGACGCGTGATGCTTTGCTTCAAGCAGGTGACTGGTGCGGTGTCCAGTGGGTAAGTTAGTAATTAGCGCTTTTTGGTGAGTGAAACATGTAGGGTAAGTCCCAGGGTGTGTACTCACCGGAGATGTTCACCTCAGTTGGGTCCAAGTAGTTGCTGGTCAATTGGAAACCCGCCTGGCCAACTCGGATGTGGTGCCGGTTCCTTTCTTTGGGGTGCCTTCGGCTGCCATGCGCATTGCGAGGGGTTGAGCTCAGCTATAGTACTACAAGGGCGGCGGGGGGGGGGGGGGTCGGGTTGCTTGACCAAATTGAGTCATGATCACAGCGGCAAAATGTTAGTCTAATCATTTACTCGAGAAGTCTTGCCGGTGACTCAAAGTGACAGCAAACAAAGACATACGTGTGCTAAGGAAAAAAACAATTCCAGCCCCCACCCTCCCTTTCCTTCTTCGGGTCTTTTTGCGAGACAGGGAGAGGGGGTGTTGGGGGCGTTTGGGAAAGACGTACCAGGGAAGGCGTTGGAATGTCCATGACGTCCAAAGGATCCACCCGGGGCTCCTTAAGGGAAACAAAGAACCAGCTTTGCCCTCGGAGGTCCTGTAAATCAGCTGAGCCACAATCCAAACCCGGGTAGATGAAGCTTGGTTCGGGACAGTCCCAACCATAAATATGTGCCGCCATCTTAGTTCCCACCCACATGGATTTGGGTAGGCGATGAGTATGACTCACCCACTTTTTCTCAGAGATCCTGTTAGTCAGCTGGCGGTGATTCGTTCATTTTGGCCCCAGTGTATCCTCAGTTGTTCAAAGCCGACCTTTTGACCTTTTGGTTTTCCCTTTTTGGTCTATTTTTAGTAGAGGTCCCAAAAGGTAAACCTTTTATTTGCAGGTCCTTTGGGCAAGTGAGTATCGTGAGGGCCACAAGCTGAAGACTCCGCCGAACGTGCCCGGGGCCCCGGGGCCTCAGGCAGGCGAGCCCGCGGAATTTTGATTCGGACACGCGACCTGAAATTATTTCAGGCTTACTCTCAGTCCCTGAGTTC